TCCTTGATGTTAGACTTACACCTCTTAGTACAACTTTTTTTTAACTATCTGTCTTTCCGGGTATATAACTATTTATTACCGAAAGCTTGTTAGTTTTTAGCAAGTGATCGAATTTTATCTTCTACTTTCAAGTAGTTTGATGGAGAAGTGTAAAAATAAATTTAAATAAGAAGTGAATGTATTTTTAATAGATCTTAGAAGATAAGTAAATTTTTAAATTGTTCTAGCTTGTCTTTATTTGTCCTTACCAATTATCTTCGGACCAAAAATCAGATAATGTTGACTAAGAAGCTATCGCCACCACCACCACCACCACCACAGAGTTTGTTCGACTACAACATCTAAGAACATTTCATTTTCCATGGAATCCAAAGCCTTCCTCTCACCTGATTTAAGGAAAAAAAAAAAGTAAATCGTTTCTTAGTATTTTGTTTTTGATCAATTGTTAATATTACTTCACTTGAGATTTATTGTTCTTGAATTTTAATTTAATGTAATTTTAATTCCTTTGTTTTTGGGGACTTTCAAATGATTATTTGGTTATGGTTCATCTTGATTACTCAATTCTCGAAAGAGAGTGGATTAATTATGTTTAGAGGCAGTATATATAGTAATGGGTTTACAAGATTTTAAAATATTTGAGTATGTAGGAATTTTAGGCAATAACAGTTGTAGAATTAATGAATTATTGCTCGATTCTATTCTGTAGTGACTAGATTAAAGTTTGATTTGTTTGGTTTCAGAAATCATACTATTGTGAGTATGTTGGAGTCTTTGTTAGTTTATTTAACAATATCAAGAATGCTTTGTTACATGTGGGCATCTTAAACTTCAAAATAAAGAAATACTTAGAAATTTGTTTAATGGAATTGCTTTATTGATACAATGCTTGAATGATTTTTCTAATTTTTTTTGTACAAATGGCCATTTGCAAGTTCACATCTCTTTTGTTAGGGATAAACACATTTAGGTCACATGGGTAACTAATGATAAATCTTTACCTTTTATTACTGAGTATAGTATGGATAAGATAATTGGATGCACAAAGGGCTATAAATTTGTGAGATCTGGTGATAAAGCGAACAACTACGAGTCATGGCTAAGATGACTGGAAGGTATTGTTCAACCAGGCAACAAAAAGTGGCTAGTCATGTTAAAGGTATGATTTATCCTTCATCATTGTGGTATGTTTGTTAGCTTATGAGATGGCCATTAAAGTAGCAAACTGACTTAAACATGTTGATTTATTTATTTATTTATCATTATTTTTTTTTTTTTGGGTATGACGAGATCTAATTCTTGAATCTGACACTTTAAATGCATTGGTGACTTTTTGTTTTAGAGACATTTTCAAGATTCGATGTCCATTCAATAATAGTGTTTAAATTTGCTTCATTTCAGTTATGCTTTTGAATTCTTGAAGATAACCATAGTTTATGATGTTATTTCTTTCGAGTATTTTAAACCTTTTAAAAAATAATAGCCTTTGTTCAATCAACGCATATATCTCCCGTCAATACTTATACATTGAACAGACTAACATTAACTTCAAAATGTCTCAATCCGTGCATTGCATGTACAAATACTAGTAATAAATAAAACACACACACTCTCTGTCAATCTCATTTGGTACCGTGTAATTTATCTTATCAGACAAATTTTACATGATGATCATCTATCTATACCTCGTCGAAAATCTAGATTTGTGATTGAAAAAATATGTATATATGGGAAATTTGGGTTATGAGGGATTGGCACGTACCAAATCTTCTAGAAAGTTTTGACTTTCACCTCTTTTGGGCCACAAATTTGGAGAGACGTCACCAGTCTTGTTATTTGACCCTTTATACTTGTTTTTTCTCCTTTTGTGGGGTTTAGACCCTATTGGCCAACTTTTACTTACTTAAAAAAGTCGGTTCACAATTGGGCCATACTATATGGAGATAGGGATAGGGTCCTAGAGACTTTTCATTAATCCTTGTTTGAAATTTCGTCATATCTTTACTTAAGTTACGATTCATTAATTGAATAATTTGGGTAGTTAACGGACTTTATTTGGCGCTAATTGACGAGGCTATGATATTATATTGTCTCGTCCACTAGCCAATGTATCAGATATTTCGTTATGCAAAGTTGAACAGACGAAAAGGCGACTTTTTTAAAACATAATTAATTGTATCCACCAGCTTTACTTGCATTTGATGGTTAGAAAACGACTTTAAGATAGCAAACACTTGTGTTGCGTTGGACCAAAATTGAGCAGATCTTTACTTATTTTATATCATCCACTGTGATAGTGTACCACTGTAAAAAAAGACTTTATATTTAGCCCCTGTTGAAATAATTTTTTTGAATATAAATCAAGAAAAGTTTTGAATTTACGTATTAATTTCCTTGAACAAGTTCATAATTCGATTGAAGTTATCAAATCATATAATGACTTTATTAATATTCATGATTCGAATGCCGTCCCAACCTAATCTCTTCTGTTCTGTAATATACCCAAGCCAATATGTGATCTAAAGTATGAAAATAAAATAAACTAAGAGCTGGTTTGGTGGTAAGGATTTTAATAATTGTTTTTTTGATCGTTAGAGATAAAGTAGGTTCTACCGGTGAGAAAAGAATTCAAAAATTATGATTGAAATGGTAAAATAACGGTCAAAAAATTTATTTTAATTGATTTTTAATTCTTAACAAACAACACTAAGTATTTAAAATAATTTAATTTTCCAAAAGTGTAGTACACGACCCCACCGGACCCAATTGGCAATGGTTAGAGCAAAAGGCAAGTTAAAAAAATGGCTTAAAAGAGGCGATCGACCAAAAGAGAGCCCACTGATCCACTAAACCACTAATCTTCTAGAAGCAATACAAGGTGCCATGTCAGCACACGGTAATCCATCCCCAGCTTGATAATGGTTCCCAGTGGGCCCTCTTTCTCTCTCACGATTCCCCGCCTCTAACATTCTTATATACCCCCTCTCTCTCTCTGAAAAATTAAAAATCCATTGCATTCACAAAATCTCTCTTCAATGCAAGGAACAGTATCTTTCGGCCACCGCAATATGTTTATTTGCTCGGTGGTAGCGGAGGCGCCGACGGCGGTGGTTATTGAGCGGAGGAGGAATCTGTACGAGGTCCTCAGAGTCAATCAAAAAGCTACCCAAATGGAGATCAAAGTGGCGTACCGTACGCTTGCAAAGTTGTACCACCCGGATGCTGCCTCGCATTTAACTAAATCATCATCGACGTCAACGGGAGACGGCGGCGGCATAGATTTCATCGAGATTCACAAAGCATACGCCACGCTATCGGATCCCGACGCTAGGGCTGTGTATGATTCGATGTTATGCGTCGGGTCGCAACTTCGGAGGCCTTCTTGGAGTGGCTCCGGGCTCCGGAGTCAGGAACGGGTACGGTTTTATCAGAGCCGGAAGTGGGAAACGGATCAATGCTGGTGATGACAGTGACGTGGCAATTGGTGGTGAAAACCCGTGGAAATTCTCTTCTTCCCGGTTAGCTTCCTTTTTCTGCTATGGAAATGAGTAAATTATCAAAGGAAAGATTCATTGGATGAGATTCTTTTGATTTGCTTAGATTTCACTCATTCGTGTAAAGGCCGGTTCAACTTGACAAGCTCCACAGCATATCAAATTGTTCAATTTTATGTACCCGATCAACTCGATTTTTGGTCAAGACCAACTCGATTATTTAACATATTTATTGAATTACTGTGTTTTAACTTGCCATTATTACAAACATTTCATGTAGGCTTTTGGTGGTTTTATCAAACGAGCTATTATCTTCTGAAGATTTGTTAAGAGTAAATTGCTTGCCGTCTTAAAATATAAAAAGAATAATCAACGTATAAAAGTGAAGCGTTTTGATAATTTTTAAGTATCAGGCTTTTTATTAATATGATTCTGACACTTTGTCCAACTATCTCATATAAAATCTTGAATGGTTAAAAAATGTATTTTATTTTTAAATTTATTTTCCAAGAACAAGAAAACAATAATCCAAGATTTATATAATAATTCAAAGTTTTGAATCAAATAAAAAGGTTGCTTCAATTTTTTGTCCATGTTGATAATAAATGAGAGTGTATATAGCATGATCTGTGGAATTCCAACATGTATTTGAATATGACTGCTTAATGACCAATAATCACAGTTTTGAATTTACAGTTGATTATTTATATACATGAAAAGGATGTTTTGGTAGAAAATAGGTTCCGGAAACGTGTGTAGAATATTAAGGGTACGGTCAATTTACGCAACTCAATGTAACTAGATTTTAACAAAGACCGAGACTGACTGACTGCATAATAATTTTTTCCATCAGATTGCACACACAGCTTGAACTAAGAATCTAAGATTAGAAAATCAAGCATTCCTTTTTCTAATTTATCATTTTGTTTATTCAACAAATGCCGTTTTTACGTAAAAGCTAATTTAAAAATTAATTAAGCCATTATGATATACAGCAGTCCAACAACTATTGGAACATCTCCAATGCATTCTATGAAATGTTATTTCTGAAGTTGAAAGAATCTTAACCTAACATTAGATTAATTTTTAAATGAATACACACTCAAGTCTAAAGTTAATTTTCAATGAGAAGAAAATGCTTATTTTGTTGAGTCGGATGGAGTTTCTGAATCTCGACAACTTCAAACATTTTATTTGTTTTCGCTGCCACCTCAACTTGACAATCCACCGTTCATTTTTACTTAGCATACTTTTAAGCCATCCACGATTGCATTAGTCTTGTCCTTTCAGTCATTCTCAACATTAGTCAAATCGGTAAAATAGTGATATCAGAACCATTGAAATTTCATTAAATATTGTAGTAAAAAGAAAAACAAAATTTTATGCAGCTGTAATATATCCAATGGAGTGTACCAATGGTAAAACCAATTTGGAAACAGAAAAGTGGACTGACGGCAGAAATGTAGAGGGAAAACAAAATAAATGACAACAAATAAACATTCGACAGAACAGAAATTTTCCGGTATGGAATTATAGAAGACAAGTATACAAACAAAATTGATATAAACAGAAGCTGTTTAAACAAATCGCCAAATGACAGACCTAAATATCGACTGCGAATTCCACATATAAAACCCTTCGGGAAAGAAAGGAAGAGTAAGCTCCACAGTCAGCATGAAGCGCCCTTCCGATGAATATCCCTAGAATTTTAGTACAAACCTTCCAGTTTCAACATTACAAAAATAAAGTATAAAATGGTATCATTTAGGGGTCATAAGGATGGAGTTGATGACATGCATGATCAGACGGATGATCGAAGGTTCGGGACCCGTTGTGGTCGGGAGATTCAGATGATGATTCAATATTTGATAAACTTGCTCAAAGATAGGCTGGACATGCACCACAATCATTGGGTCAGTTGGATTTATGGCGGACAGTACCTCACGCATCCAAGGTAGTTTCTTTTGCGTTTCTTTGCTAATATCATAAGCCAACTGCTGGAAGAGAAAGATGAGTACACCTTGGCTCAAAGGGAGGGGATTCATTGACAAAATCCCCAGTAAATCAACCTGGTACAAGGCAAAATACGCCCGGAAATATGTCAACTCAGAGTCACGCATCACATTTTGTGGTTGTCCATAACACATTTGATACAACAATGAACAAGCAAATAGCATATGAAACGCACATGTTCCAAAGACTAGGAAAGAAATGTGTCGGTTTCTTTGGGATCAGCGCTTGGGGTGGTACCCTCCATTTATTATAATTATAGTACACAACCAAGTTTGGAAACAACCTGACACAAATTATTGACTTTCCACCTAAAAAAAAAATCTCAACAATAGTTGAAAAGTATTGTACTACGAATATTGTGCAACAAAAGGAAACTAATTTTATTTTTTCTTCCAAAAAGGCAAATAGGAAGGGAACCGACGGAACTACACTCTACAAGTGTCAAATTCAAATGAAGCTTATACAACCAAAATCCTTCATGGTATCATGCTTCAGCCACATGCCCACTGGATAAAAAATGACCTACTGCAGACATTTCATTTTCTTAATATATATTAGGGGCATGGAAAAGAAAAGGCTCAGTTCGCCTGACCCCAATGAACTCAGAAATATTATCACCGGAATGCAAAGTACAATACATAAAAGCATATCTGAGGCGTGTAATTTAAAACATGTAGCATACCTGAGCACACAACCACGATACAATAGAAACATCGCTTCTTTGCAGGGCTGCGGTGAAAGCCTCCTCGTACTTATGCTCAGCTATCAATCTTGATAACTCTTTCGTTGGATCGGGAGGTACTTCAAGCTATTACAACAGTAAAATTGGTTCAAAGTGCTTAAAAAGACAGTTCTGAAAGCTGCAACGAAAATCATTCTTCCAGCTCTAATTGGTTTTTACAAAAATTCCTAAAGAGTAAACAAGAACTGAGCAAACCTTTTCATGCAGACCCCCCAAGGGACCATTACTCAGTTGGCTAATCAACGGATTTGTTGATTTTGAATTCACTCCAGCAACAGCAAGAGCTAACAACTTTCTTTGGCCATCAAGCAACTCAGTGCTTAGGGTTTGAGTCACCGAAGATGCTGAATTCATAGCATCCTAAAGGTTTAGCTCATATTAGTGGAATGTAAAGGTAGAAAAGGATGCACCAGCCGAAATTGGGAAAATTGACGGACAAAAAATAAATACATGTTCATTCATTATAGACTGTGTAGGTAGGTGATGAGTCTTAAAATTAGTAAGACGGACAACAAGACTCGTGATATCAAAATTTGTACCCTCAGAGCAACTGCCATTGGTGAATATGATGACTCAATTTGTTGCTGAGCTGCAGCAGTATGTTCAACCATTCCTTTCTGAAATGTGGCATCCAATTGCTCGAACATGACCCTGCATGATTTCTCAAAGGCAGGGATCACGGAAGCTTCCAAACTTAACTTCAGAGTTTCCTGCATAACAAATTAAGAGAGTTGAACCAAAATTCTTAAATTGTGCAAGACAAACTAAGAGCATGTTTGGGAAGTATTTACAAGAGGTTTAATTATGTTAGATAAAAACGAGTGGTGGATAAGTGGATAGTACATGTTTGTCCCTTGAAATGTGTTGATAAAATGTGGCTTGAGTGTGTATAAACTATATATAAACATGAGCCAAACATAGACTTATATTCATGTTCAACAGTTCAATTACCCTTCATGTTTATAGACAGTGCAGGGAGATGATGGGAAGAGAGTAGAGAATAGAGTTGACAAGTTCTTCGGTTAACATTGGTAGACCTCCACATAAGATAGTATCATCATGACTGAAATGGTAAAAAAATTGAGATAGGGCAACAATTCAAGGATTTCACCAATAGTTATAAGCAGAATTTAGGAAATCAAAATCAATAAGAGAAGGTTACATGAACCTCTTTTGCCCAGGGATTGCTATAGAACTAGAAAATTTATTCGTTGAAGAAAACCTCTTCCACTCGAGCTTCTGTTGAACTCTTCAATTCCAATGTCTGGGAGCATTGCCACGATTCAGCATCGCTAGGAAGCAACCAACCTTCTTCACTTGCAGATGCCCATATCTTCACTTCCCGATTAAATGGACCCTGAATTCATATCCTTTAAAATTTAAATACAGTGAAGATAACTCAGAAGCAAAAGCGTATGTATGAAAATAAAAACAAAAATTTTTTATGCAAAAGGACAATTAGAACTTAAAAAGTCCTCAAATGAAAAAAAATGAGGATTCTAACATATTAAGTTCAAAATTTTTTAGGAAAGCAATGAAAGAGGGAAGATTTGATGGTAGGTACCCCAGTGATAAGAATGATATGATCTGGGCGGTGAGGAGCAGCCAAGAACGTAACAGAGTTAACTGGTTGGCCATCATGTGGCCGGAGTGCTGCAATTGGGATTGACTTACGATCTTCCCAAATCTTTATCTGCAATTACAAAAAGAATATATAACATGCAACTAGATAACCAAGTTATATAAGTATGCTTCCACAATTACCAAATAATTAAGAATAAATTCAGTAGTTTGTTATCCAGCTACTGATTATAAATCAAGGTGTCTACAGAAAAAGTAAGTCGCTGGTAACCCTTATTCATTTAGAACCTGAAAATTTCTGGATCAAATGCAAATGAAAGCATATTGTTCTAATAATGCAACAAAGGTACTTTGGTCGAGACAACGAAAAAGTTGAACGGGAAACATTAAGAAAGCTAATAAACTTAAGACAAGACATCCAAACAATAGCCTACATGTCAAGTAGTAGCTTCTTCATTATATTACCGTATTCATGTTTTACCCACAAACTTGAGACAAAACTGACATTAAAAGACCAACACAACGCATGGAATAATAAGAAGTAGAACTAAGTATGGCTTAACATTGTGCAAAATGAGAAAATGATATAGCATAAAAAGTAGAACTAAGTCTGGATTATTAGAGATTCGTTCCCTCTCAGCGGCTATTCAAAAGGAACTTGACATAAAATTAGCCTCTGAGACCATAAAGGAGCAATGTTATAACGAACCGTGCCATCAACCGATGCAGATACCAAACGGGTGGTCATCCACTGGCACATCGACAGGTCCGTCACTTCTCCATCATGGCTACCAACAAGTTGGACCCCATTAATTAACTTCTCAACAGGACATTTGAGAGGTTCTTCCATGGAGAACACTTGGCCTTTTCCAAATTTTGTAGTATCAATCTTCAACACATGCTTTCCAATACCCACTACAAGAACTTCCTGGTCAGAGGGAACGAACAAAATTATTCAGTAATGTATTTTATTCAGTAATGCATGTTAACATGATGACTCGCTCGCCAACAAAAAAATAGTAACACCGAAATACTGAAAAGGTGAGTATCAAAATATAGAGTTAATTATTCCAATGGTTACTGAAATTAGCTTCATGTCTTTGATTGATCGGTGAAATTTAAAATGTCGAATGTTGGTTACTGAACTTAGGTCCATGTCTTCGATTGCTCAATGAAATTTAAAATATCGAGTTTTGACCAATGAACATTAAAAAATGTTATACGTTACTCATTGACATAAATGTTGAACTTTGAAAAATGTCGAGTTTACGATGAGTAACGTACAACATTTTTTAAAGTTCAGTAGCCAAAACGCGACATTTTTAACTTCGGTGAACAATCGACAACATGAATAAGCAAAACTCAACATTTTAAGCTTTAGTGACCAATCAAAGAGATGGACTTAAGCTCAGTGACCATTGGAAAAATTAATTCCAGGATATAGTATACCTGTTTATGGCAATGCCAACAAACTCTTGGATAAATAGATTCCCCTGCTCCGGTAATTTGAAGAGCAACAACAATCCTTCCAGTTATTTGAGGTTTGTCTTCTTCATCTGGGCCTTCAATAATCTTCCATACATAAACCCGACCATCCATACTTGCACTACAGGTAAGCACATTAGCATCATCAAAGACAAGCCAGAAGATGTATTTAATAAAACAATTGACAAGAAGACTACCTAGCTAAAAGATGAACATCCTCAGCAAAGAAAGTCATGTCTGTGACCCTCTGAAACAGAAAACCTTATTTAAGCAATTATCACTCAAAATACAATCAAATTGAATGTAGAATATCACATCCCACAAAGAGGAGCATCAGTTATCCTAGGGAGTTGTACACACCCACACATTTATGCTTACCGCTCATAATTAACATTCTCGAATGCGAACCCTATATCAAGTACCACAGTAGCAGTAGCATAACAACTGAATTATCGTAGATCAAATTTTATACGCAGTATGCACTGTCAAAAGCAAATGACAAACAGGAGTAAATTTTAAAAAATATATATACACAAAATTTGATAATTCTACAGTGAAACTTTTAGCAAATTGATAAATTTCATAACTATGTGTGTATAGGTTTGTCACTGGTTATCAAGTATGTGACTCTAGCTATCTGCATTGTATCCAAGAATTAGAAATAGAATACATTTTTTTTTTATTTTTTTTACCCCCAACAAAAAAAAAAATAATAATAAGAAAACGTTGACTGCCGTTGTGTTGGAAGAGTAGCCTCATTATGTAGAAAGCCTTCAATAGCATTTGAATGAGACATCATGTTATTGAAGTCAAGAATCGTTTGACCAAAATACTGAGCATTATGATCCCCATCCAGATCTCAGTAAAATAAATCAATAGAGATTTCAATACACATATACGATTATAATTTCAGCAAAATAAGATCCACAAATAAAACCAACCTGAGCTAGACCCTTAAGCAATGATCTCAAAGCAGTGTTAATATTAAGAACCCGAATGGCGCCTAACTTGAGACCATAGCATATATACGTCTTATTAACAGCAATTTGCCTGCCCATGAAGAGTCCCGGGTCAGACCCGTATTTAGTGATGGGAGTAACCTCCAGCTGAGGCTGCACCTCCCCGGGGAACCTAACATCTACGTCATAAACCAAATTATCCCCCATCAAATGCCGCCCCCTTGGGGGCTTACTACTGAGCATTCTTATCACAGGACCCGGATGCCAAATCCCAAGGTTTGGCCTGGAAGGCAGCACGACTACATTCTGGGTCGCTGAGAAATCAAAGCCGGCCGAAGATGTTGGGTTGAATTGGGGATTTGGCATGGTGGGTTGTTGCGGTATTTCCAGAGTGGAAGGCGGGGCACTCAACAAGGCCATAAGCCGGGCCCCTGGGTTGGGGTTGCTAGTATTCTGGGAACTAGGTGGGTTTTGAAAATTGTTCTGAACAGGGCCAGTGGGGGTCTGGGGTTGGAGACTGGGTGTAGGATAAGACAATGACCTCTGAGAGTGCATATTAGCAAAATCCTGATTCGCCGGTAAATGATTGGGTGGAAAGTTGTAAACGGGATGGTGGAAAGCTGCGCTTTGGGGCGAATATGAGTAGGGCACACCACCAGCCACCGGCGGAGGATAAGAGGCTGAAGGGGCCGGAAAAGGAGATGTAATAAAATTAAGGTTACTACTGGTATTACTATTAGGGTTTTGCAGATTGGGGTTTGCAGTGGAAATGGGTGGAGGAGTGGAAGTTCTAAATAATTTGTTTATATCAAATGGACTTCCACCTGGTTGGTTTGGATTTGGATTTCCAGGTGAAGCCATTTCGATCAATATATATCTTATGAAATCAATACAAAATCAAACAGCAATCCGTATTTGGTACAGAAAGATCTGAATCCTGGAGGGTTAAGAAATGGCGTGTGTATGTGTTTATGATGTATGTATAGGTTGTTATGTGTATACCAGTATATATATTAGCGGGGTGCGTGGGGGGTGACTGGGTATGGCGTGGTAAGGGTGCTTAGGTGTTTCAGTGAACATGTGAGAGAGAGACAATTGAGGGACAAAACTGAGGAAAGATGGCTTCAAAAACAAATTTTTGGGCTTGACTTTGAAAGAGGTTGCACTTCAGTCACCTAAGTTTTTTAGGTCTACACCAATCGCTAAAGTTTTTATTTTGCACCTATTTGGGCCCAATTTTTTAAAATTCGTTCTTTTTTAAACATATTTTCAATTATATATTTTATAAAATTCATAATTATTTCTACTATTCAACCATACATTTCATCATTTTTTCTATTAAAAATTATTTAATTTTTGATTTATAATCAAATCGAATAGGGACTTCGTTTCGTGTTGATCGGGAATTTCGATTACATCATGAAAAATGTCATTTTTTCACATCTAATAATTTTTATTTTGTGAACAATATAATGCATTGATAGACCTTCTAGTTATTTAGTTATGCAAAAATCATGTCTTCAGCTTAAAAAAATACATAACACGTGACTATATTAAAAATCATACTTTCAATTTGACCATTATCATGAACTAACGTCTAGAGGAGTTTTTGCGAAATTTTCTATGCTACATAGTAAAACATGTTAAATTTCGTGACATGTGGCTAAATTGAAATAAAATTGAAACGTTGGTGACAAGCTCACAATAAAGAAAGTCATAATACTTAAAATAAAACACAGTTGAATGATGTTTGATTGCTCTTTTTGTTATTTTTCACCAAAGTTCAAATTTTTGGAGTGTTCGATTGACATTTTTTCATGAAAAATATCGTATAAAAGTTGGGCACGTGATCATGTTTTACTTTAAAAAGGGAAAAAAAAAATTGTTTATGAGAAGTAAATTTTTACTTTCTAGACAATTCACACTCTTCAACAACTCAACTTTATGGAAAAGTATAGCTTTTTTGAAAATTAAATCAATCGAACACCATGAAATTTGCATAAAAAAATTAAGTTTAGACAATTGATATGCTTATTACTTATTTGCGAGTAAATTGTTAATTAATTATGTTTGATTAGTTTAATTTTCAACATAAATAATATTATACTTTGTCATCTTTTATTGGTGAATATATAAAAAAGAAATAGGCTATATAAGAGAGGGGAGAGTGAATTACCTGAAAAATAAATAAATTATACTACATGTATATAACAATTTACAACATAACGATTTACACAGTAATTTGCATATAAATAATGTGATGATATATGATTAAGTTTGAATTTCTTCAACCAAGTGAGAATTTTATCCACCATCTTGTTGACGCATTATATGTTTGTAAATCATTATATAACTCTATTATTTGCAAATACCATTATTTAAAATCAAAGATAGGGTAAAAGATGACATTTTTTATGAAAAATAATGCCAATCAAACACAAGTATTCTTACCCAATATAATACGTATCATATACAGACAATTTATAGTCTGTATATGTATTGTTTTTTATTATGTACCTGTTTAGAGATTAAAATTAGGTCTTTATCAAATATTGATAAAAGTTAATGGAATGTGTAGTTGAAAAATTGTGTATCTTACGAAATATGTGGTTAAAATTAATTGTTGATTTTAATTTCAATTTTAATTAATTTTTTTAGTGGTACCTGAAAGTGGCTAGACTATTTCTATTTGGGGATAAAAAAATAGACAATAATATCAACTTTACTAGAAAATGATAAACAATGCCATTTCGCGGAATCTTATGTACAGGCTGTTTTGGTTTGGCTTGATTTGTTAATTTTATAAGGGAAAAAAATAAATTGGTTGCTATTATTAAATTCGAAGAGGGTAGTTCGTAGACAAATATTTTCATTAGGTTTTTGCAATATGTCATCGGGTGATTTTTTTATTCATCATTATTATTATTTTAATTTTTAATTTCTTACTTTATATCAACATTAATTTGATATTTCATGCCGTCAAATATTTCGTTCTTGCCTAGGGATATGCTTAAAAAGTAAAGGTCAATAAATGTTTAATGAAAATCATATTCATGTTTCATCGATTTTTTATTTTATTATTATTATTTTTTTTATCAAAGACTTTGTAAAACGACTCTTCATTGATTTGACGTATGGATTTACTGAGGTCTCGTTAAATCCCCATATTTATTAAAATGTATTTTTCTCTTTTATTTTTAACCACACATTCTTCCTTAAAATAATATTATACGTAAATAAAAAACTTTTCTTTATTTTGCATCCACACATTCTCCATCAATCTACTATTCTAAAATTCATTTTTTCCAATAAAATGGGTATCAAACACCCACTGAATGAGATTTATACGGGATTGAATAATGTTTTCTATATCATCGGCCATACTAGTAATGATTATCATTAATGATAGATAATATTATTTGTTGTTACAAGAAATATTAGGTGTTAAGAAATTTAATGGGAGTGCGTCAACAAGATTTGAATTGAAATATTCGACATCCATCATTTATTATTGTGGCAAATAAAAACGAGTAATGCTAGGTAGCCCCCATTGAGATTGCAACCTTAGTCTAGGTCCTACTAAATAATATGTTAAATGAAATGTGAAATTAAATAAATACCATATTAATATCACATAAATTGGGATTGCAACTACAGTGAAACTAAATAACATTACTCAATAAAAACAATAAGTCACGTTATCAAACAAACACTTTAGTTTGAAAACAAATTTTCCGACTTTGTTGTTAATTTAGGTCCATTATTAGGATTTTGACGCTGCATTGAAATATATGTTGTTTATGTCGTTATCAAACAAACACTATTTTCCCGTTTGAATACAAAATTCTCCATTTTTTTTATTTTTTTTGATAGTTAGCTGAGGCCATTATTGCGAAAAATATATATGTTATGTGATAAATGCATTTTGTGCACTTATTCGGACTACATAATTAGGCTTTTATGCCGTTAAATTATTAATTTTTACCTAACTTGTGTTAATTTTCTTTTGTTTTTAGTTAGGGACCCGTTTTGAAGCAATTGGAAAAGAAAATAATCACCTTGCTATTAAATAGAAGTCGTGGACTAAATCTCGCGTAATAAAAGTTGGAGGATTAAAAATGAGGAAAATTGAATGACTACCTTGCATTACATGAAAGAATTGAGGACTTGGAAGATAAATAATGCCTTGGAATTCAAATTGGGCTTTGAGTGCACTTGGACCACAAAACTTATTGGCTTGTGGAAAAAAAAAGGGGAATCTGTCGGCTGAAGGAAGTGGAAATAAAAGGGAGCGTTGGGCCTTAGTTTGGATCTTATTTGGAATAAAATTCAATAAAGACTTGGACTCCTAATTATATACACATACATGCAGCGAAGATTGAGGAGGCCGAAAATTGAAGCTGTGGAATTAATAAAATCGGCCAGCTATTGGGAGAAATTGGGGGCTGCAAAGTTGACCTCAACAGGTATATAATTCCCACAGAGCCGAGGCTATTGAATCATATATATACACACAAAAAACATATTAAAAGGCTATTGTTGCTGGAACAAATACATAGGCGGCTGCTGTTGAATGCATAGCCATAGACACACGAGTTGCAACAGGAATTAAGAGATATATATATTCATGCAAAAGGTGGCTGGACACACACACACACACACACACACACACACACACACACACACACATATATATATATATATATATATATATATACACACACACACACACACAACACTTCGATATATTATCTGCAAAACTTCAGTCCCTTTTCCCAGTTACACTGCGTTGCTTCATATACACACTCTTTGTGGAGGAGGAGGAGGAAGAGGATCGAATAAATCGTAATTCTGCCGTCATGCTAGGCTAGATGTTTTGTGCTAGGATTTGCGATGAACCTTGTATTATGAACTTTTAATCTTGAATTTTATTTATTTTGACGTCAAAACACGTTTTTAATTATTATATGATTGACATGGGTTTTATTTTCTCTACAATTATATGCGCAATAGTTGTATGAGATTTGTGGCTTGTTTTACCCTTGAGAGATGGAAAATTAGTTAAATATTATGTTAATTGTCGTAAAGTCCGATAGGGGATAAAAATATATCGCTATGTTTTACGTGATCTTTAAGTATTCATAAATTTTTAATGTATTTTTATATATTCGCATCCGTCATAAAAATATAGTCGGGTCGCATGTAAAAATGGTTTAATTCTATTTGAGAGAGATTGTTAAACAAATTAGGAACATTGATCTTAATAATTGAATCGTGTTGTCAATTTTATAAAATTCGGGTCAAAAGGGATTGATATAAGGGCATTCGGGATCCTAGTACCCATTTCTTTATCATATTTTTATAAAACTTACATTTAGTCATAATCACACATTAGTTTAGTTAACTTAAACTTTATATTTATAAGTAAGTTATGAAATCATAATTTAGTTAGTGAAAAATCACGAATTTCTATTGTTTCGATTAAAGAGAAGATAATTTAAATTTAAACTAATACAATCTCTATGGGACTATATTTCGACTCAAAAGGTCCACTTTATTACTCGAACGCAACCTATGCACTTATGGTGTAGGATTTTAACGAACATTATGCTTGGTTTCACTCCCATTTTTAAAATTCATTTTTTTATGAAATTTATTTTCAGCTATGCATTTCATGAAATCTACAATTTTTATCAATTTTTTAACTATATATTTCATCAATTTTTATCGAACTTTACTAAATTTTGACTTTTAACCGAATCAACGTGAGACTAAGCCATAACCATCGAAAATTGTAGATATATTCATATATTTGGAGTTACTAGATTGAATAAAGTATTGTAGTTATTTAACTCTCGGTTAAAGTAGAAAGACATCACTATAATGGCACTTGTGTCTGCTCATGTAATGTCATAGAGATTAATTGTATTTTACTTGTCAATATATTTACGTACACGAAATAAGAAGTGATTCTACAAAAGATCCAACCTCTAATTTAGAAGAGCTTTCAACTTCTATATGTAAGGAGCATTTGAATCGGCCACACAATTGACAAAAAAATCAGAGTTTTAAGGGGAGAGGGGGGGTTGGA